TCACAGAAGCAGGAGCTGGTTGCCCTGTCGTCAGCCGAAGCAGAATTCATCGCAGCAACCGCAGCAGTTCGCGAGGGCCTCTACCTACAGGAACTCCTGCAGGAGGCGAAAATTCCAACTTCGCCAACCTTTCGACTTCACTGCGACAACCAGAGCGCGATTCGCATCGCGAACAAACCTGGTTTCGTCAATCGCACCAAGCACATTGCGCTGCGATATTTCTTCGTGAAGGACGAAGTGGACAAGGGCAAGGTCAACTTGACCTATTGCCCGACCGGTGACATGGCAGCAGACTTCCTCACGAAGCGACTGCCACGCCAGCAGTATCAGCACTGCTCCGAACTCAGCGGCGTGGTCAAGCAGGTCAAATCGAGCTACGGCCAGGAGTGAAGGGGGGTGTTACGAATAGTAACATGTAATTGTTACTGAGCACTCCTCACCGCAGCAAAGAGAAGCACGCAGTATCGAAGCAAGAAAGCGAACCGTCAGACAGTTGGAGTTTCCCTGTAGGGAAGACGAAACGACCTAGCTAGCCATGTACTCTAAGGGGTACATTCCCTTATTCGAATTACATTCCCAACCGTGCGGCGCGTACAGTTTCGTAACTGTTCCCGCCAAAACCATCCTGCCTGCAGCTGTCCGATGCCGTCTGCTTCCGACGGTCCAGATGCGCCCCAACTGTCTGACACTTCGAGTCAAACTCCAACTGTCTGACGGTTCGCTTTCTTGCTTCGATACTGCGTGCTTCTCTTTGCTGCGGTGAGGAGTGCTCAGTAATATTTACATGTTACTATTCGTAACACGATTTGTCTTGCAAATGCAATGTCTCATTTCAACTGGGTGGGGGGTGGGAAACTTGAAATTGAAAGTTCGAAATGAAAACGTGGGTGAAGGCCAAATGGCCTTCGCCCCCTCTTTTGTACCAAAAAGAGGGGAAGTAGCGGTTCGCCGAAGCCTTTGCTTCGGTACAACTCGCTTCGCTATTCACAATACACAATTTTGAAAAGCGTTACACACTTTAAATTTTTTACATTTTATGCATGATAGCTTGAGCACAACAACCATGTACAGTAATCGTATGGGAAAGATTCGTTGAAACAACGGCGAGGATGGAGGAACAAGCATGACTGTGATGAAGGTTGGAATCGCATCTATACGGGAGGGGTGTACAGCAATCGATGAAATCGGATTTCCAGCCAACCTACCGCCACTTGGCTTGAATCAATCCACCGCACCGCAGTGCTTGCTCAGCAAAAGAGGCACCTGCCTGGCTGTGCTGTGTGCTGTACACATTCCACAACAACGCTTCACTTCTGCCAGCGCAGCAAAGCTCAACCACATGCCTTGAAATTATCTCAATTTTTACTGGATAAGCGGTGGCCGCTTCCGCGCCAATTCGCTGACACTTCACCGCTGGAATGCACCTTTTTTTGTGGTGGTCAATGGCTCATCCACCTCATCAGGGCTCTTTCTTCGGAAACCTGTTGGCTACTCGTCAGACTGGATCAACTCGCCGATAGCACGCAAGCTCCCTCCACTCAACAACCAGAGAACGATCACGCGCCGCACCAATCAAATCCTCACCCTCGCAGGTACAGTAGTTTCCCCACGACACGTCACTGCAGGAGTGCCGCGTCGCCGCAAGTGAGTGACACATCACCAGCGAAACTCGTTGTGACGGTGCCTGATCCCCGAATGGGATCTTCGCAACGATTTTCGCTAACCTTTCTGGCGGTGAACTCCTCACCCAGAGGTCCACAACAATTCACCAAATCGTACCAAACCGAGCAAAACCGTGTCCATTGTTCTGTTGTGGTCCTCTTTCACCTTCGCGGTTCTTCTCGGAAGTCTGGTGGTAGCAGCAACACCTGAGTTTCTTGTTTGGGGAAGCACAAATAGCCAACGATATCTGTTGCTCATTGTCAGAAGCTCATACCTTTTCCAGTGACTTTTTGCTTTCACTATTTACCTCGCGGTGCCACCTTATACGCTCTGCTTCCACAGCTCTACACCTAACTCGTGATATGGCCGCTGCTTCGATGACTCTCGCTCGCACCGGCGTTCCCTCGAGCGCAGCTCTCTCTAAATACCGTCTCACTGACAAATGCAACGTCACGCCTGCACAGCCAACCTCCTTCCGCCTTACTCCTAGAGCCGACGCTTCCCCGTTGTCCCGATCCGTCGCCACTAACGCCATGGCGATAGCGATGCCAGCGCCGACTTCCTCCGACTATTACTCCGGTTACCCGACCGAGTCTCTCCCGCCGACCCCGGTCTTTCCGTCAAACCAGGCGATGTCGCAGTTTCTGCAGTCGTATGGTCGCATGCTGCAGCACGTTCAGGCGAACGGGCGCAACGAGCAATCCGGCGACGCTTTGGTGTCGGGCGACTCTCTCGCAGCAGCGGGTGCGACGGTTGTCGAGCGGGTTCATCTTGGACTTAATGCGCTTCTCGGTCACCCCGTTCACGTGAGTAGTTTTTTACAAAAGCTTCATGCTTCTGCGATTGGAGCCTTTTTTGCCATTTTCCGTGTCGACGAAAATCGCCAAGCTGTCCTTCGAGACCTCATACTTCACTGGACGAACCAGCTTTGATTTTTTGTACCCGCAAAGGCTTTTTTTATGACAGATTCTCGTGTTGGATTGTGTTTCTATTTTTATCTTCAGGGTGTGCAAGGAGGACAGAGGTGGTGTGAGAAGGAGATGCAGGTCGAGCGGTGCTTAGCCGAACTCGAGAAGGACATCGACGGCATGCGATCGGCCCACGAGCGACCTCCGCGTGCCGCTACTCTCACCCTCGCCACCGCTCACTGCTACGAAGCCGCTCGCCTCATTCGCACCCTTTGATTGGTTCGCCGTATTTGAGCCTCGTTCCGCCTCTTCCGTTGTCTCCGTCACGTTGTCTGCTTGCTCTGATCTGCTCGCGTTCAGCCGCAGCCTTCAGCCGCAGACTCAGATCCGTTGGCATCACGACGCCATTTAGGTGCTTTAGGCTCTCGCCATTCAGGTGCTTTAGGCTCTCGCCATTCAGGTGCTTTAGGCTCTCGCCATTCATCGTTAATATTAGCCTAGGGGTACTCGGCCTCGGTCGTTCCTGTTTCTGCCAGCGGTTTTCGTTCTTGTAACGAAGGTGCCTCGGGGCTTGTCCCGTGCTGGGGGGAGCAGCCATCACCTGACGCTGCGCGGTGTACATAATTTACAGGAATGATGGATTGGCTGATTAGCAGGCAGAGAAATTGCGTGTGCTTTACCACTCATATTATTTGATTGCAGATGATTGTCCCTGGCAAGCTGGTTTTCGTCCCTTTAATGAACATATACATAAAAGCAGTAAAAGTTTCCATCAGCTTGATTGCTCTGCTCCTCTGCATGTATCGAATCTCCTGAAGATGCAGTACAGCGATACATTCCACTCATAACAAATCCTGACCAGTCGCTCGGTCGCTCTGATGGCCACGAGATTTGAGACACCTGTAACATTGCAGCTGCGCCCGTTCGCAATGTTCGCTCTCTTCGTGAAAACATCGATCTAACACCTTTTACTCCTGATCAGTCAGTCCATATATCAACCAACTTTGTTGCTTTCCCAGTCCAATCAGGGGTTCCTCTCACCTTGAGAATGCCCAACATAGGGAACTAAGGGCGCGTCACCTCTCAAGCAGTCGGCCAAAATCGAATGCTGTCACTATTTTTCAGTGCCCGAACAGCACAATTCCGATGTTCGAACAAGATTTGAAAATTTGGTGAAAAGTGACGGTGTGTCACATGAAGTGACAGGTGTGTTCGAAAATGCGACGTCGCCTTTCGTGCGACGTCGTACAACCGTCGTCAGAAGATTTTGATTGCATAACGAACATAAAAAGGCAGTCGTGAGATACCTGGAAACTTCTTCGTGCTGTTCGTGGGCGTCGTATGTGCTCATCCCGAATTACATTCGAACGAACTCATTCGAATAGCAAGCGCGATGTCCCTCGTGCTGGATGTGACAGCTCTGTTCGATTTAGCGACGTTTCTATTTGCGAACTAACGAGGACTCAACGAGCTTCTTGCGAAAATAGGCGAGATGTGTATGTCGCTTGTTCGAACAAAGGGCATTGTTCGAATTTAGAGGTGACACGCCCTAATGTTCGATCGGAAAGGCGATCCGATAGCGAGCCGTTAGTGTTATTGCCCTGTCGCATCGACTTCAATGGTGCTCTCTTTCCAATGCTAGGTGATACTGTAAGCTATTGACCTTCCCAGCGTTGGATGATTTCTGTTCAGACACAGAATGGTGACAGAATCAGCGACTCGTTAATTTCTTGTATTCATGGATCATGGTTGTCAGTTCGGCCGTTTCATTAACATTTTGCTAGAAAATTGCAAGTGAAGAGCTGACATAGTGCCGCTACTTTCGGAGCGACGCGCAGCCACGTCATCCTGTGGATTTGGCAGTCTGACATGTCCAACATTTGTCAGAAGATCCGATTGGACTGTTGATCGTCATCGGATCTCGAACACAATTTTTACAGTCAACCCGTGCTCATCCCAATGTCGCTTCCACGAAGATTCGCTCCTCTTCTGTTGCTGATTGCAGTCCTGCTTCTGGACCACCAATCAGCAGCGTCCACGTGGAAAGAGCACGGAACGCTTGGTGCTTCCACGAGCAATCATGCACGCGAGGAACAAGATTCAAAATCTCCACTAGGGAGCAAGGATGGTGTTGTCGCGGAGGACGTATCTGCTGCTGCTTCTGATATCGCTGCCGCCACAGGCGATGACGCTGTTGCCACTAGCACGGCTGCTGCCGCTGCTGGCGACGGTTCTGCTATTCCTCTCGCTGCGACCAGTGATGCTCAAACGGGTGAAACGACGAGCGGAGCGGGCGCGCTGGAATCAGAGCCTGGCGTGACTGAATCGGAGCCGAGTGTGACACAATCGGAGGATGCGATAGTGGAGAGAGAGTCCAGCTCGCCTGAAGCACAGGCTGCTGGTGTGCCTGAAGAAGTGAATGTGACTGCCATGAGGTCGGCCAGTCAGTCAGTCAGTCAGTCAGTCAGTCAGTCAGTCAGTCAGTCAGTCGGTCAGTCAGTATCGTTCTCACACCATGCGGGTGTATGCCTCTGAGCCAAATGCTACTCTCACGAATTCAGTGCTTCCACGAGCCTGCGCCTTCATTCCCCAAGCATTGCCTGGCCTGGCTCCTCCTTTGATTTCCTTGTTCCAGGTATCATCAGAATCGAACATGCATGCATGCACCATGGCCCCTGAGTGAAGAACTTGTTCCTTGTATCTCCCTGCAGGCATCAAGTGGAGGAGATGTTCTATCATGCGTATGACGGTTACAAGCGATTCGCCTTTCCACAAGACGAGCTGAAACCTCTCAGGTGTTTCCGCCTGCCTCTGCTGCATGTCTCTCTATCTCTCGCTCCCACCATTTTTCTGCCCTGATCGTCACTCTCCTTTGCCCACTTCAACTTGTTCCTGCGTGTGGTGTAGGCGATTTTCTAACATACTTGCAAACCCGCTCTTTTCTTCCTCCTTTACTTCTCTCCTTCACTCACCCGTCACCCCCATCGCTCCCCCATGTTTCCCTTGTTTCCTGATTGCCAGCTGTTCTGGGTCCAATCCCTATGGTGGCATGGCAATGACGCTCATGGAGAGCCTAGGCACGCTGCTGGTGAGGCGTTTATGTATCTTGGTCTATATGGGTGTTAGCAGCTGGTATTTCTCCTGTTGGCTAGCTCAGCTGCTCTCTTGCCTGGTTGCGCTGGGTCCAATCCCTATGGTGGCATGGCAATGACGCTCATGGAGAGCCTAGGCACGCTTCTGGTGAGGATTGGTGGTGGGTAGAGTGAGTCTCTGTGTCCTTGCATAGGTCGATGTGTTCATTGCCTCTTTCCCGTCCCTCCACCTGCCTCCCAGCCACCCCAACATACCCTATACTATCAAGTGCAGCTGAAGGACAAGGCATCGGGGTTTTACGCATCGCTATCACGTGCAGCTGGGGGCGTGGAATACCTCTTTCAGCATCGCTCCTCCCACTCCCACAGGGCAAAATAACGCCCTGCCATGCCATCAGCCCCCCCCACACCCCCCCTTCCTTCCCCCCTCGCCCCCCCTCCCCCTCTCACCATGCAGCTGTTGGGCAACGTATCAGAGTTCAACTGGGGCGTGGAGTACCTTTTTCAGCATCTCTCCTCCCCTGCCTCCGTCTGTTGCCCCTGCATCCTCCCCTGTTGCCACCTACCACACCACAGCTGCTGGGCAACGTATCCGAGTTCAACTGGGGCGTGGAGTACCTCTCTCAACACCTCTCTTTTGACCTGGACATACGCGTGTGTGTTCCATACTCGCCCATCCCTCTCTCCTCTGCTCGCTGTCCTCTGTTTCTCTATGTTTCTCGCACTCTCTCAGCACCTCTCCTTCGATCTAGGCATACGCGTGTGTTCCGTGCTTGCCCATCCCTCCCATGCCTTGTGTGTTCCGTACTCGCCCCTCCCTCTTCCCTCCCTCTCCCCTCCTCTCCCATGCCATGTGTGTTCCATACTCACCCCTCCCTCTCCCCTCCTCTCGCTGCCTCTGTTTCTCTCCGCTGTTCTCCCCCCACCTTGCTTGCTTTCTCCCTCCCGTCCACGCGTTTTCTCTCGTCAAACCCCCCACGCGTTTTCTCTCGCCTTCCAACCACTGTCTGTGGCTCTGTAGGTCATGTCCGTACTGAGTGTATTTTCCACAAATACCTTTGCTTACTGAGTATATCATCACACGTCCATATTTCACCATTGCGTTTGCGGCCAACGTAAGGGCACTGGAAAGGAAAGCCTCCTTTCCATCCACATGGGTCTTGTCTTGAGACATCTCGAAACTTTCTCACCTGGCCCTCTACTCTTTCTCTCGTTTGCTCCTTGTATCGGTCTCTCGCTCCCTGTCTCTCCCCCACAGCAACGTGTTTGAGGCCAACATAAGGGCGTTGGGAAGCCTCCTGTCCGCCCACATGCTTATCCTGCAAAGCTGGGACCCCACGCTGCCACCTGTCCATCCCTCATTGGCCGGCGTGCACCTGGCACCTGGCTACAAGGGCCGTTTGCTGGAGCTGGCTATTGATCTGGGCTTCAGGTGAGTCTCAGGTGGGATTTAGGAGGGCTTCAGGTGGGTTTCAGGTGAGTTTCAGGTGGGTTTCAACGTGGTGAGAGGGGGGGGGGCGGGGGGGGGCAACGTGGCTACAAGGGCCGTTTGCTGGAGCTGGCTATTGATCTGGACGTCAGGTGGCATTCGTATATTGCCACCCACCCACACAGACACAGACCCACCGCCCTTCGCTGTGCATCTTCCCTTCTCCGTATCCCTCCCCTTCCACCAGACTTCTCCCAGCCTTCTCATCAGCCCCGCCCATTTCGTGCATGTGGGTGGGTGAACCTTCGAAGGGGAGTACTTCCAGACAAGACAACGCCACACGCACTTTCGAGAAGTCTCAAAAGTAAAATACACACTCCGCCCCCTTCCCTCTTCTTCCCTTCCTCCTCTACCTGCCTCTCCTCCAGGCTGCTCCCCGCCTTCTCATCAGGCACGCCCATCCCCTACGCATGGGTGAATCTCCGGAGGGGAGTACTTCCAGACGACGTCACTCATACATGCACTGCTGGCGCGGGCACTCTGTTGCTGGAGTTCAGTGCGCTCTCAAACCTCTCCGGGATTCCCATCTTCCAGGTAAGGACACCACAAGGAGTGGAATGGGATTGAGTGAGGCATATGTAAGGTCTGTCACATGCCCCCGTCGACCGGTCTCCAAGACACCTGCACTGCTGGCACCAGCACTCTGCTGCTGGAGTTCAGTGCGCTCTCGAACCTCTTAGGCATCCCCATTGTCCAGATAAGGGAAAGTGATGGCAGATGTTGTGAGTTGAGACATGTTAACTCAAAGCTCAGTCGCTATAAGTACTTGGAAGCCCGCACTGAGAAAGCCTGCGCGGGGAAAGCCCGCAGCTCGAACGGGGCAGCAGTGGTTGCTCTGTAGAGACGCAGGTTTCCCCTGAACCTCGTTGGCAATGGAATCAGCACCTGGACGCTTACTTGCCTCTTACTCGTTTGCTTCCTTTCCATTCCATTCCACTCCACCCCGTCCCATCCCATCCCATCCCATCCCATCCCGGCAGGAGAAGGCGGAGGCAGCAGTGGTTGCTCTGTACAGAAGGAGGTCGCCTCTGAACCTTGTGGGCAATGGAATCAGCAGCACGTCAGGTGGGAGCAACTGCTGTGAGCACCCCAGCATTGCCGTCAGCAGGATGGTAGGTGAACGGTGAATGAGTAGTAGTGGGTGCGCTGTACAGGTGGAGGTCGCCTCTGAACCTCTTGGGCAATGGAATCAGCAGCACATCAGGTAGGAAGGTGCTATTCGCAACCCAGCACGCCAGTTCTAGCATCAGCAGGTTAGCAGGCTAGCAGGTTAGCAGGTGAATGGTAGGTGGGAGGAGGTGGCGTGAGCAACCCATTTGATGGTGGAAGGTGGGTGGAAGGTGTTGTGGTGACTTTTGAGACGTCTCAAAAGTCGTCTACTTACACGAGGTGGGTGGAAGGTGTTGTGGTGAGCACCCCAGTTTATACTCTTCAGGCTTGTGGTTGCTTCATATAGACAACTTCAGCCTACTTTCAAGGCGCCTGAAAAATCCCCCCATCCCCCTTATCCCGATCACCGCCTTTCTTAATCTCTCTTTCCCTTCTCCTCTCCACTCTCTCCCTACCTGCCTCCCTCGTCTCCCACTCATCTGTAGAGAGGGTGTTTTTGACACGTCTCAAAAATCTCCCACTCATCCCCTACACTCATTCAGGAGTGTGGCTGCAACTTTTGAGACGTCTCAATAGTCCTCTCCCTACCTGCCTCCCTCTTCTCCCACTCATCCCCTACACTCATTCAGGAGTGTGGCTTCAACGGGAATCCACAGCAGGTGCTGGCGTTGACTCCTTCTTTGAAGTGAGTGTGAGATATTGCTGGCAACGCCTGCTGTGGCAATCTTGCTCTCTCGCAATCTTGCTCTCTCGCAAGCTTGCTCTCTCGCAATCTTGCTCTCTCGCAATCTTGCTCTCTGATTTCAAAGGCACGCCTTGTAGCTGGCATATGAGATTTTAGAGCCACCCCTTGTAAATGACTTTTGTTTCCAGTCGACTCAAACGTCATTCGGGCGAGTCTTGACCTCAGTTGTTGAGACCAAAGACTCACCTTTCCATATTTCAATGGCGCTGTAAGTGGTTTCCCTTCACTCCGTGTCTCCTCATTTTCGCACAGCGCGTATAGCGCCATAGATCCTTCAGTACTCAGGTTGCCTTCTAACCTGGCGCATGAAGGCAACCTGAGAATTATCCTCCTAACATACGCCATAGATCCTTCAGTCTTCGTTCTTGTCTTCCCGTTTCGCTCACTCCCTCCTTCCCCACAGTACCTCCTCAAGGGCTATCTGCTACTGGGCAAGAGCACTTTTCGCCGAATGTTTTCCAAGGTCAGTCCGAGTCCCGATGCCTATGTATGTTGTGATGTAGTCTCGTTTCCATTGTTATGTCAATGCAATGTAGTGCCTACATTGTGCAACGCAACTTGGTTCCATTTTTTTTGGCATTGCGACATCGTGTTCTCACAATTGCAGGCTATTGCACCCCTTTCACTGTGACATTCTATCGATTCAATGCAGTGCCACCCTGCTGCTTCCAGGTGTATTCCGGTGCAATGCGGTACATGGCGGTGCGGGGGGAGTCCATGGTGCGCTGGCTGCTGGATGTGGGCATAGACAATGGGCATTTGGGCCGGCACTATGCCTCGTCCCTGCAGGCGTTCTGGCCTGCCATGCAGGTAGGCAGTAATGAGGAAGCACAAGTGCTTGTAACGGGTATGATATGTTGCACTGGTTCGGCTGCTAGACGTCAGCATAGACAATGGGCATCTGGGCCGGCACTATGCCTCGTCCCTGCAGGCGTTCTGGCCTGCCATGCAAGTATGTATGCTATGAGTGCCCTTCTGACACACGTTGTACCTACCAACAAGCATCGGGGGGGCAGCACTGTGCCTGCCATGCAGGTATGCAGTGAGCGCTCTCTTGAAACACGTTGTGCATGTTTCTACCTTCACAAGCCACCGCCTTCAGACCATTGCTGCCCTGAAATTTCCAAGTCGACTCAGTAGTCACTGTGTATAAGACAGTGCCCATTCTCCACCTCTCACCTGCCAGTCTCATTCCCCCCCCCTTCTTATTCGCCCCCCACCGCCACCAGGTTCTCGTTGCCAGGCATTTTTTTATTAGGTGACTCAGTAGTCACTGTGTATAAGACAGTGCCCATTCTCCACCTCTCACCTGCCAGTCTCATTCCCCCCCACCCCCTTCTCATTCGCCTGCCACCGCCACCAGGTTCTCGCCGGGCAGACCGCGGATGCCCGAGTGATCCACAGTGGCCTCTGGGCAGTGTGGAAAAGGTTTTCCTTCCTGCCCGAGCTTTTCAGCGTGACTGCTTCAGCTGTTCATCCAGTGTACGCAACAGTGACTTTTAATCATGGCTGCAATATTCGCGCTACTACTTCAGCTGTGTGTAAATTTCCAGCCTTTGACTGTTGCACTCAAGCTGCGCTGCTGGGCACAAACGAGCTTGAGTGTGAATAAGCGGAGAAGCTGAGCCTAACCCATTCCCTCACCCCACCTGAGCCTAACCCATTCCCCCATGCCTTTCATCATCATGTGTGCACAGGGAGAGGGGATACCCGTTGCGGCCTGAGATGGCAGAGAGTTCATACTTCCTCTTCAAGGTATGGAATTACTTGAAATGGGGGAGATTCACGTCCCTTACTAGGGAGAGGAGCAAAACAGGAGGTATTGGGTGAACAGGGAAAGGGGATGCCCAACCCTCTGCGGCCTGAGATGGCAGAGAGTACATACTTCCTCTTCCAGGTATGGAAGTACTTGTGATGGGGAGGGACATTCACTTGGTGATTTTCTAGTCGACTCAAAAGTCGCCGCGCCTACATGGGACGGGGACCTTACGAAAGCAACTATTGTTAGAGAGGAGCAGATCCGTAAAGGTTGATTGAAACAGGCTGTATCTTGCACCAGAGATGGCTAAGAGCACTCAACTAACCAGGTGAGTTTTGAGTCGACTCAAAAGTCACCTCAGATCCGTGCATGTTGATTGAAACAGGCTGTATCTTGCACCAGAGATGGCTGAGAGCACTCAATAACCCTCCCATCCCTCACCACCCCCTTCTGGTTTTGACTTAACCCCGCCCAGGCCACAGGTAATCACACGTGCCTGGAGATTGGGAGGGATATTGCTGCAGCAATCAACGGTCACACATATGTTATATTTTGTGCCATTGTTTACAATCCCTCAATGGTCGCAAATCACCCGTCCAGGCCACGGGCAATTACACACTCCTGGAGATTGGGAGGGATATTGCTGCAGCGCTCAACACAGTCACACGCACAGGTGCTTCTCTTGATAGAATCACGTCACATGGAGTGCGTTTGCAGGACATGCATATGGACGTTTTAGTAGGTTTCAGTAGGCTTCAGTAGGCTTCAGTAGGCTTCAGTAGGCTTCAGTAGGCTTCGGTAGGCTTCAGTAGGCTTCGGTAGGCTTCTGTACGCTTCGGTAGGCTTCGGTAGGCTTCGGTAGGCTTCCGCATGCTTCCGTAGCTTCCGTAGGCTTCCGTAGGCTTCCCTAGGCTTCCGTATGTTTCTGTAGGCTTCGGTAGGCTTCCGCATGCTTCCGTAGCTTCCGTAGGCTTCGGTAGGCTTCCCTAGGCTTCCGTAAGCTTCCGTAGGCTTCGGTAGGCTTCGGTAGGCTTCAGTGGGCTTCAGTAGGCTTCAGTAAGCTTCGGAAGGCTTCGGAAGGCTTCCGTAGGCTTCGGTAGGCTTCGGTAGGCTTCGGTAGGCTTTAGTAGGTTTCAGAAGCTCTTGAGGCGCCTTAAACGTCGTCTCCCTTGTTCCATATTCCCATGTGCGTCTCAGAGTGTGGTTTTGCAAGCGTTGGCGACTTGCAGATGGACGTTTTAGTAGGCTTCAGCAGGCTTCAGTAGGCTTCTGTAGGCTTCAGTAGGCTTCAGTAGGCTTCGGTAGGCTTCGGTAGGCTTCGGTAGGCTTCGGTAGGCTTCGGTAGGTTTCAGAAGCTCTTGAGGCGCCTTAAACGTCGTCTCCCTTGCTCCATATTCCCATGTGCGTCTCAGAGTGTGGTTTTGCAAGCGTTGGCGACTTGCAGATGGACGTTTTAGTAGGCTTCAGCAGGCTTCAGTAGGCTTCTGTAGGCTTCTGTAGGCTTCAGTAGGCTTCAGTAGGCTTCGGTAGGCTTCGGTAGGCTTCGGTAGGCTTCGGTAGGCTTCGGTAGGCTTCGGTAGGCTTCGGTAGGCTTCGGTAGGTTTCAGAAGCTCTTGAGGCGCCTTAAACGTCGTCTCCCTTGCTCCATATTCCCATGTGCGTCTCAGAGTGTGGTTTTGCAAGCGTTGGCGACTTGCAGATGGACGTTTTAGTAGGCTTCAGCAGGCTTCAGTAGGCTTCTGTAGGCTTCTGTAGGCTTCAGTAGGCTTCAGTAGGCTTCGGTAGGCTTCGGTAGGCTTCGGTAGGCTTCGGTAGGCTTCGGTAGGCTTCGGTAGGCTTCGGTAGGTTTCAGAAGCTCTTGAGGCGCCTTAAACGTCGTCTCCCTTGCTCCATATTCCCATGTGCGTCTCAGAGTGTGGTTTTGCAAGCGTTGGCGACTTGCAGACGCCTTTTCTAGCAGCTCTTGATGCACCTCAAAAAGTTGCCTCCCTTGTTCCATACTCCTGTGCATCTCAGAGTGTGGGTTTGCAAGCGTTGGGGACGTGCAGACGCATCGACTTGACGACCACATGGAATCGTTTCTGCTCTCGGAAACACTTAAGTAAGCGCTGCAATGGCTACTGCCACTAAATTTTCTTGATTGACAGTACAGTGTTTTAAAGAATCCTGACAACGACATGGAGTCATTCCTTCTCTAGAAACACTTACTTAAGCGTTGCAGAAAGAGTTCTTACAATGTTTACTAGCAATTGCATAATCTGCTTTGATTTAGCTTGATCTGATATCACTTCTTCTCCCCCACCAGGTACCTCTACCTCCTCTTCTCACCTCACATTGACATCGCCACCTTTTGAGGCGCTCTACGAGCTAATGCAGGATCCGGTCTGATTTGATCTGATATTGCTGCTTCTCCCCCACCAGGTACCTCTACCTCCTATTTTCACCTCACATTGACATCGCCGCCCGGTTCGTTTTCTCCACGGAGGGCCATCTCCTCTCACCGAACCTGGTGTCTTCTGAACCAACTCAAAGCACACTTGATATCACTTCTTGCTTGTTCTCTCCCACCCTGCCAGGTACCTCTACCTCCTATTTTCACCTCACATTGACATCGCCACCCGGTTCGTTTTCTCCACCGAGGGCCATCTCTTCTCTCTGAACCTTCCCAGAATCTTCCGCGTCGTCTGCCCGTCAGAAGGCCACCCGGACACATCGCCAGCTGGTGACTGCCGAGTGGTTCCTGCAGCTGCTGATGTGGATGCTGATGTGGATGCTGACGTGTCGCGACCCTCCTCGCAGCCTCCGGGCAAGGCGCAGGGACCCTCGGTTGGAGCGCAACGACTACAATCACAGCCCCTCTTGCTCGAGACGCAACAGCCCTCGCTTGAGTCACGCAGACCCTTGACTGAGGCACGCACACCCCGGTCTGAATCACGCAAGCCCTGGTTTGAGTCACGCGTGTGTGAGAACTCCATTTCCCCCCTGGGCTCTCTTGTTGATCCAGACTTGGCTTTAAGAAGACAATCGGTTTGTGAGGCTGTGGTGGGGGCGTTTGGAAGAGAGGAGCATGGGGGAAAGGGGTGGTATGGTGCATGGGAGGACGAGGATGAGGAGAGTGGGAAGGGAGAAGGAGGGGAGGAGGGGGAAAGGGAGAAGGGAGAAGGGGAGGAAAGGGGGAATGAGGTGGGGGAAAGGAAGGAGGGAGAGGATGGAGTTGGGAGAGCAGGACAAAAGGGAGAGGAGACGAGTGGGATGGAAAGTGGAGGGGTGGAGGGTGGAGGATTGAAGAGTGGTGTGGTGGTGAGTGGAGCGGCTAGTAATGTGGAGGGAGAGAATGTGCTACCTATAAGTGAGCAAGGGAGCGTGGAGGGTTCAGGGGAGAAGGAAGCGGAGACAAGGGAGGAAGCTTCGAAGGAGATGGAAGAGAGGGAGAGGAGGGAGAGGAGGGAGAGGAGGGAGAGGAGAATGGGGAGGGACGAGAAATTACGGAGATTGGAGCGAACAAGTGAAAGAGAGAGGCGGAAACGAGAGGGAAAGCAGAGCTTAGAGGAGCGGCAGAGGGATAAGCAACGAGAACGAGATTTGAGACGACTCAAATCGCAATCAGCAGGGCTGCGGCTGATGCAAGGGAGGAGGGACGAGAGGTGGAGGAGCCCTGTAGAAGAGGAGGTGTCTCGGCTCGCTTCCTTCATCAGATACCAAGAGCAGCAGAGGGAGCAGCAACTAGCAGCAGCCGCCGCTGCAGCAGCAGCAGCAGAGGGAGCAGAGTGCGCAGAGGGAGCGGAGGGATTGGGGCAAGAGGGTGTGAGTGAGCTGGGGCATTGTCCTGCAGGGGACCTAAACAATCCTTTTCCCAATGCTGCTGCTACTGCTGCTGCTGGTGATGGTGCAGCTGGTGCTGCTGGTGCTGGCGCGGGTGGTACTGGTGATGGTGTTATGGGTGGGAGGCGGTTGGGAGGGGTGGTGTCGCGAGTCATTGGTAACCAGCGTCTGCTGTGTTATTTCATGGTGGATGCGTCATACGGCCCCTCCTGCTTTGCTTGGAACGCCCTCCCTGCCGCCTTCCCCTACCTTCAGGGTTTCCAGACTCTAGCAGTGAACCTTTATATCCGTAAGTGCTGTGGGTCGGTGGGGTGCGGTTGGGAGGGGTGGTGTGCTGCGAACCATGGACAACCAGCGCCTGCTCTGCTATTTCATGGTGGAACCATGCCACAAAGATGCAAGCAGACGCTCATTGTGTAGCCGACTTTTGAGACGCCTCAAAACTCATTGTGTAGCCGCATGGCTGGTTGGCTGGATTCCCCCAGCCCAGTGTTCCATGACCCCCATCCCTGTACCTTTTCCCCCAACTCCCTATCGTTCCTCGTATCCAGTGAGCACAAGGCTTCGTCACATACGTTCCCCTTCCCTCTGACTGCTTCCCCGTTATTCCTATCTTTCTCTCTCCCCTTTCCCCTACCTTTCCCACCCACTCCCCATCTTTCCCCCAGAGCACAAGGTCCCAGCAGCGCCCCCCTGTGTGGTGCGCCTGGTTACCTTCCCCCATCCTAGCCCAGGACACCTGATCCTCTTCCTCCTTGCTTCTTCCCCCCTTCCCCGTACTTCTCTTTGTTTCGCTCAGAGCACAAGGTCCCAACAGCGCCCCGCTGTGTGGTGCGCCTGGTTAACTTCCCCCATCCTAGCCCAGCACACCTGATCCTTTTCCTCCTTGCTTCTTCCCCCCTTCCCCCTACTTCGCTCTGTTTCGCCCAGAGCACAAGGTCCCAGCAGCGCCCCCTGTGTGGTGCGCCTCGTTAACTTCCCCCCACTCAAGAATGAGAGTCCCTCTGGGCATCAAACGAATGTGACTGTACGAGAGGGTGGGGAGGAGAATGGGGGCGAGGACGAGGAGTGGGAGGGAGAGAAGAGAGAGGAGAGAGGGAAAGGAGAGAATGGGGAGATGGGTGCGGGGGAGAGGGTGCTTGGGAGGGGAGAGGAGGGCAGGGGGGGGCGAGGGGAGGGAAAGGACGGAAGAGTGGAGGGGAGGAGGGAAAGAGGGGAGGTGAGGGAGGAAAGAGGGAGGGGACAGGAGCTTGTGAATACTGTGAGTGTAGACCTGCCTGCAGGGGCTGCTGAGTTTGGCCCTCTCCTTGGGAATGATGATGATGGTGATGGTGATGGTGATGGTGGGAGTTATGGTGGTGGTGGTGGTGGTAATAGTGATGGTGATGTTGATGGTGGTGTTAGTGGTGAGGGTTTTTGTTTGAATGATGGTGCTGTTGATGATGATGTTTATGATGATGAGGATGATGACAGTGATGTTGATGGGTGCGGGGATGCTGATTCTAACGCTGTTGCTGGTGCTGATGCTGATGTGGATGCTGCTTGTCCCAGTCTGAACGAGGGACAAGAAGCAGCAGGGACAGATGCCGCTGCAAAGAGGGACACAGCAGGAAATGCAGGCGCCCCAGCAGCAGGAAATGCAGCACCAGAAATTGCAGCACCAGAAAATGCAGCACCAGAAAATGCAGCAGCAGAAAATGCAGCACCAGAAAATGCAGCAGCAGCTACTGGCACCGAAACCCCTCCTCCCACCTCTCCCCCCAGCTCCATTCTCGGAACCCTCGCAGAAGCATCCCCTATACAAGCGTGTGTGGAGCTCTTATCAAATCCTGGCGAGGTGAAAGGGCGGGTGGTGGTGGTGATGCGAGGAGGGTGCTCCTTCCAACAGAAGGTGGTAGCAGCACAGAGAGCAGGCGCTGCTGCCGTGATAGTTGTGAACCATGAGTTGGGGGGAGGGGCGCTGAACATGGCCCCTGATGTCCCCGGTTCGGATACAGTCACACCCGAAGGTGGGGTGTCAGAGGGTGGTGAAGGGACGGATTCAGATACAGTCACACCTGATTCTGGAGTTTTGCAGGGTGGTAGTGATGGGACGGATTCTGAGAAAGTCACTCCCGTTGGGCAGATGGCAGGAGGTGATGGAGTGTCACCAGGGAAAATAAATCCTTTATCGCCAACCTTGTCAGAAGAAGGATCGGAGGCAGCAGCAGAAGGATCAGCGGCAGGAGAAGGATCAGCGGCAGGAGAAGGATCAGCAGCTGGAGAAGGATCAGCAGCTGGAGACGGATCAGCAGAAGGAGAAGAACCACTATCAGCAGCAGAAACACCAGGGGTAGGGGATTCTAATTCGGCAGTGCGAATCCCTTCGGTAAGCCTGGGCAATGCAGATGGCACTCTGCTATTGGCGGTTATGAGAGGGCAGATGAGCGTGAGAGAGGCTGCTAGGCGGAAGGCAGAGGGTTCTGAGGGAGTGAGGGAGGGAGTGAGGGAGGGAGTGAGGGAGGGAGTGAGGAAGAGAGTGCAGTGGAGAGTGAGAGAGAGAGGGAGGGAGAAGAGAAGGCGGGCGATAATGAGGGTGGGTGTGAGGGGGAGGGTGAGGAAGAAGCTTCAAACAATAATGAAAACGAGCAATGCAAGGATCAAACGGATCGAAAAGAGTATCACAAGGGTCGCAAGAAACATGGCAGTGGGAATCAAGGCGAAGGGGAAGGGGATGGGGTGCAGAGATTGGATGGTGGAAGAGGAGCAGAGGTATGGGTGAAGCTGTTTTGCCCGAGAAAACGGACCGAGGAGGATCAGCCTGCTTTGTTTGATGTGGACGTCAGCGTGCCGCCGCACTCGCCGTTGCAGGTCAGTCACCGTTGCTGGACACTCGCCGTTGTAGCCTGCAGGTTAGTCACGTTGCAGGTCAGTCACGTTGCAGGTCAGTCACGTTGCAGGTCAGTCACGTTGCAGGTCAGTCTATCTATCTCGCTGAAGAACTGCAGGGCTGTCAACTCATGGGTGAGTATTTCTTTAATTTGTCATGACTGTGTTTGCCCTTTCCCATTCCCTTCTTAATTGTTATTTTATTGCAGATGCAGCAAGCTGTGAATGCAATGATCATGCTGCTGAAAGGGGGCCACTTGAATCGGCTCTTGACATTTGCATAGAAGGTAGTGTTTTGGGACTTCATGCACAGGTGCTGAAGCCACCTGTGTGCAACAACCCTGTATAATGCACAAGCATTTCTGACTGAAGTGTACTGCTTTGTCCTGTAACAACTAAGTTGGCCTGGTCAAGACTGTCATTATTTCACTATTTCCAGGCAACTTTGAAGAAGCTTCTCCAAGGACGTTTGGTTGTGGAAAAGAGGCTCGGAAAAAGGCAGGCTTGCGAATGGCGCGTAACAGTGCCACGTCTCGACAAACAAACGCATTGAAATGAAACGCACGCCACGCACGCGTGCACGGTGGTTGTAACTACGTTTCCAGACCAGACTTCTCTGCCCGAACCAGACCGAACCGCAAAGATCACACTCAGTAACCAATCGCACCTCCCCCTCCCCCTCCCCCTTCCCCTCCCAAACTCCCCTCTGTCCGGCCCTTCGATCTGGGGAGGGTGGTCCCACCCACACACCCAAATCTCTGCAGGAGAGGTTCTACCGACATTTCTCCATTCGATCCGTACGTCCAGATCAGGTGATCGTGCGATCGCAGCTGCATCGCTTGACCATTTTGGCAATCAGACATTGGCCGTCACACCAAAAGGTCGTCGTCGCAATCGCTGATTAGTCGCACACAGTCGCAGATTCCCGAGTATGTGGGGAATGCGAATCAATTGCACAATTCCGTCCGTCAAGCACCCCAGCACAGCACTCAGGGGATGTCTCCCCCTTCCCCCGCAAGTCCCGAACCCGAATCCGAGCTTCGAGCTTCAAGGGGCGCGTTTGTGCGGTTCGCCGAGCCGCGCCCAGACCTATACCCCGGAAACCGAACCAGACCCTTGACGCGCTCGTTCCCACCGCCCTCCCCTACCTCGCCAACCTCGGTGTTTCCGCACCGTAGCTGAACAGCGAACTGACCAGCAGCTGGTAACCAGCCAGCATTCTGCTTCGCCCTTCTCTTTCACACTCTCCATGCCTTTCTCCCGGTCTATGGCGCTCAAGTGATATTTTCTCATGTTTGATCTTCCACCACACTGCACCACACTCTATCCTACGGAAATACGAATCACCATGCAAAACCCATCTCAAAGCTCGAACTTCAGTGACCTTACTGAAAAACAACGAAGACCCCTCTCCCATGGACGAAATCCATTCATGGCTGCTCAGTGACTCCCTCGTGTTTCTTTGTGACCACCAGTACTGGCGTGGTACTAATGTGACGTGACGTAACGTGACGTAACGTGAAGCTGATCGCCAGTGGTAACGTGCCCCGACGGATAATAGACTTCGCGTTCTTACCGAACAGGTGGCGTGTGAAGCTGTCCGCGGCGTCTGGGTGATCGCCAGAGCTATCCAGAGTTAAAGTCGGGGACAAGAAGTCCGTATTTATGCTCATTGGAATCATCAGTCGTCACCTGTAACGCATTTCAGGTAGATTCATTCCAGCCTCCTCCAGATGGCGATGACATATGTTAGTTTCACGCTGAGCACGCGCCGACACTATCAGGAAAAGTAGACAGAGTCACATTTGGAGGGAGACTGAGAGAAAGCGACAATTAAGTCCGTACGTCGATGCTTCATCGCTTCGCTGCAGGATAAGCGATGTGGTCAGAATCGTTAGCAGCGAACTTTTCGCTCGTGACTCGTCACGCTGACGATGAACCGCTCCGCTAAGGACGACCTTATAGCGCGTACCACCAGTCCCGCATTGCGACCCAGCTCCTTGGCGAAGGGAAGATGGATGATGCCACTAGTAGTCTGCAAATGCTAACGACACGACGATTTCGTACGACTCGCCGACTAAGCCAGCCGTGCGACGGCGATCCGGAAACAGGCGTCAGGCTTCACGGCGGCAACGAGCCGATAGATCAGCGCGATTCGCGTCAGCCGTATGTTCCACGGCAGCCGTACGGCCCACGTCAGCCGTACGGCCCACATCATCACCTTATTTGTAGAGTTCCGACGAAGAGATACTGGCGATCCGAGAAGTTCTTGAGAGTATGGCTCGGCTCGCTGCTTATCGTCAACCTGCTCTCGCCGGCGAATCTACCGGCCGCCGGCGAAGGTAACGGCCTTCTGCTCACCCCAGATACTAAAATCACATTCACTGGCTTGCGTTGTTTTTGCGTGTACTCGCTTGCGTCGACATCATCCTCGGTATAAGCCTGAACGTCTTTCCACGGATATGCTTCTGCTTTGTGTCTTGCTGCGTTGCTTGCGTCGCATGATGCTGACGAAGACGCCGTTCGTCTGGCTTTTGAGTCGACTTAAGTGATATCTGGTTGGATGCGATGCGATGTTTGTCGGCCGGGGATGCATGCCGTATCATGGTGTAACCCTGTTTAACACATGGCATGCAGGTGATTTGTGAGTCGACTCGACAGTCACCTTGTTCTTATCACATCATATCACATTACATCACATCACATCATATCACATTACATCACATCACATCATATCACATTACATCACATCATATCACATCACATCACATCACATCACATCACATCACATCACATCGCATCACATCACAATGCATTGCGGTCCATTGCGGTTGCGTTCACTTGCCCTACTCCAGACGTGCGGTGGTGCGTGGTGGAAGGTGGTTCCTCCTCCCTCTGCAAGAACCTCCTCTTACAGTCACATCCCGGCGGCGACGACAATACCTGTGACTCGGACCAATCGCACCCACCGTGCTGGAAGTGGTGGGTGCTAGCTAGCTACCGCTGCAGCATTCCTTCTTGAGACGTCTATTTTTGAAGCGCCTCCTCTAACCTTGCTGGAAATCAGACACCGTGTTGGAAATGGTGTGTTCTACTAGCTACTGCCGCATCATTTCTTCTGTGGACCGCAAAACATTTTCTCTTATAAGAGTTTCCTTAGGCTCAGCCTTCTTCCCTCACTGCCGTCTCTTTTGAACTTGTAAAATCGCCATTGCGTCCCCTTCCCTTTCACCGGGATCCCCTTCCCCCCCCCTCACCGCCATCCCCTCCCCCCCGAACACCAGCGTTCCGCGCGCTCTCGACCAGCACTGCTGGCGCGCGCTGCTGCTCCCCCACGCCGCCCCTGGCGCTGCTGACGTGGCGCTGCTGTCTCCGCCGTTGGATCTTCTACAATCGCATCTCGCAGATGGTTTGCAGCAGGCGCAGCAGCAGCAGAAGGAACAGCGAGAGCCGAGCTATCAGCAACAACAGCGGGAAAAGCGGCGGGAGCAGCAGGAAGAGGAGGAGTCGGTAGCAAGCGGCAATGCAGGTCGGCAGTGGCAGCTGGAGTGGCAAAGGCCGTCGCTTCAAAGGGTAGAAGGTTCAGTGGAATGGAAACAGACGCAGCGGAAGCCGCAGCAGGAGCTGCAGGGGCAGCAGGAACAGCAGACGCAGAAGCAGCTCCAGCACCAGCAGCAGCAGCAGCAGCAACAGCAGCAGCTGCAGCAGCAGACCCAGAGAAAGGCTAGACGGAAGAAATCAAGGGGCTCTAATAATCCTGCAGCAGTGGCTGCTGGTAGAACTGGTGCTGCTGCTGCCGCTGCCAGATATGGCAACATAACAAGCGGATCATTGGGGGTGATTGTGACAGGCAGTATGTGCGACAGAATGCCGGACCTGCTGGCTCGGTTGGGGCTTGGAATGGAGGCGGAGGAGGTCTGGGAGCAGCAGGCTCGGCGACAGCAGGGGAAAGACTTGGTCGGGAAGATGCAGATGTGTTCTGGAGAAGGGGTTATCTCGTGCTTAAATGTGCTGCATGGGACTGAGCAGGAGACTAAAGAGGAGGGAGTGGATAGCAGTAGCAGCAATGGCAGCAACGGTGGCAGCAGCAGCAGCAGCAGCAGGAGCAGGAAGAGGCCAGTGGTGGCACTCTTGTGGCTGGCAGGTAGCCACGTGGCAGAGCGTGATTGGAAGGAGCTGCTGGCGGAGGTGAATGAGAGCGGGTCGCTGCGGCTGCTGTGTGCTGATGGCTCGTGCTCCGATATTCGCCTGGACTCGCTCTGCTGGTATGCTCCTCCGTTCTTGCCTCTCCTTCCCTCCTTGCCTTTGTCTTGATCCCCCTCTCCTGCTGTCCTTCTACCGCCCACCCACCGCCCACCCACCATGTCTTTTCCACCCCCCATCCCTTTCTCATCTGTTCTCTACCCCACCAACAGGCTGCTGCCACCTGGCTCTCTCTGGCTGCGCCAGCACCGCGCTGATGACGTGGCATGGCTTGCAGGGCTCATGGCGCACCACGTCCTCATGCACACGTGGAACATCTCTCTCCCGTTGACGCAACCTCTTTCTCCTCCTCCTCCGCCCCCTCCTCCTGCTGCTTCTCAGCACCCACTCACTCCATCCTCCCACAGTCCCCCATCTCCCCCCCATCACTCATCACCACTCTCTAATCCCGAAGATTCCATGTCACGCATGCCACTAGCCACGTCAGGCCAGCCACTGGCCACGTCAGGCCAGCCACTGGCCTCGTCAGGCAAGCCACTAGCCACGTCAGGCGCAGTCTTAGCTCCTGGAGATTCACCTGAGCTGGTTCCGAGGGAGGCGGAAGAGAATACGCAGTGGTCGAGATGGGTGCAGCTCTTTTCGCATCTGTCAAGAAAGGTATGCTGTCACTCACTCTTGTTCTCATATTTGCTTATCTCCTCTTCGTTTCACTCACAATCATTTCCCTGAGTAACTTTGCTATGCCCTCCATCTCCCCTCTTCATGTGCCTCACTCCCTCACTTGCTCCCTCACTCCCTCTCTTATTCCCTCTCCCACTCTCACTCACCCATGGCCTTGTGCTCCCCACTTGCTCTCCTCCCCTCCTTTTCAGGTCAGCTTTCACATGCACTGAGTCCTCTTTCACATGCACTGAGTCCTCTTTCACATGCACTGAGTCCTCTTTCACATGCACTGAGTCCTCTTTCACATGCACTGAGTCCTCTTTCACATGCACTGAGTCCTCTTTCACATGCACTGAGTCCTCTTTCACATGCACTGAGTCCTCTTTCACATGCACTGAGTCCTCTTTCACATGCACTGAGTCCTCTTTCACATGCACTGAGTCCTCTTTCACATGCACTGAGTCCTCTTTCACATGCACTGAGTCCTCTTTCACATGCACTGAGTCCTCTTTCACATGCACTGAGTCCTCTTTCACATGCACTGAGTCCTCTTTCACATGCACTGAGTCCTCTTTCACATGCACTGAGTCCTCTTTCACATGCACTGAGTCCTCTTTCACATGCACTGAGTCCTCTTTCACATGCACTGAGTCCTCTTTCACATGCACTGAGTCCTCTTTCACATGCACTGAGTCCTCTTTCACATGCACTGAGTCCTCTTTCACATGCACTGAGTCCTCTTTCACATGCACTGAGTCCTCTTTCACATGCACTGAGTCCTCTTTCACATGCACTGAGTCCTCTTTCACATGCACTGAGTCCTCTTTCACATGCACTGAGTCCTCTTTCACATGCACTGAGTCCTCTTTCACATGCACTGAGTCCTCTTTCACATGCACTGAGTCCTCTTTCACATGCACTGAGTCCTCTTTCACATGCACTGAGTCCTCTTTCACATGCACTGAGTCCTCTTTCACATGCACTGAGTCCTCTTTCACATGCACTGAGTCCTCTTTCACATGCACTGAGTCCTCTTTCACATGCACTGAGTCCTCTTTCACATGCACTGAGTCCTCTTTCACATGCACTGAGTCCTCTTTCACATGCACTGAGTCCTCTTTCACATGCACTGAGTCCTCTTTCACATGCACTGAGTCCTCTTTCACATGCACTGAGTCCTCTTTCACATGCACTGAGTCCTCTTTCACATGCACTGAGTCCTCTTTCACATGCACTGAGTCCTCTTTCACATGCACTGAGTCCTCTTTCACATGCACTGAGTCCTCTTTCACATGCACTGAGTCCTCTTTCACATGCACTGAGTCCTCTTTCACATGCACTGAGTCCTCTTTCACATGCACTGAGTCCTCTTTCACATGCACTGAGTCCTCTTTCACATGCACTGAGTCCTCTTTCACATGCACTGAGTCCTCTTTCACATGCACTGAGTCCTCTTTCACATGCACTGAGTCCTCTTTCACATGCACTGAGTCCTCTTTCACATGCACTGAGTCCTCTTTCACATGCACTGAGTCCTCTTTCACATGCACTGAGTCCTCTTTCACATGCACTGAGTCCTCTTTCACATGCACTGAGTCCTCTTTCACATGCACTGAGTCCTCTTTCACATGCACTGAGTCCTCTTTCACATGCACTGAGTCCTCTTTCACATGCACTGAGTCCTCTTTCACATGCACTGAGTCCTCTTTCACATGCACTGAGTCCTCTTTCACATGCACTGAGTCCTCTTTCACATGCACTGAGTCCTCTTTCACATGCACTGAGTCCTCTTTCACATGCACTGAGTCCTCTTTCACATGCACTGAGTCCTCTTTCACATGCACTGAGTCCTCTTTCACATGCACTGAGTCCTCTTTCACATGCACTGAGTCCTCTTTCACATGCACTGAGTCCTCTTTCACATGCACTGAGTCCTCTTTCACATGCACTGAGTCCTCTTTCACATGCACTGAGTCCTCTTTCACATGCACTGAGTCCTCTTTCACATGCACTGAGTCCTCTTTCACATGCACTGAGTCCTCTTTCACATGCACTGAGTCCTCTTTCACATGCACTGAGTCCTCTTTCACATGCACTGAGTCCTCTTTCACATGCACTGAGTCCTCTTTCACATGCACTGAGTCCTCTTTCACATGCACTGAGTCCTCTTTCACATGCACTGAGTCCTCTTTCACATGCACTGAGTCCTCTTTCACATGCACTGAGTCCTCTTTCACATGCACTGAGTCCTCTTTCACATGCACTGAGTCCTCTTTCACATGCACTGAGTCCTCTTTCACATGCACTGAGTCCTCTTTCACATGCACTGAGTCCTCTTTCACATGCACTGAGTCCTCTTTCACATGCACTGAGTCCTCTTTCACATGCACTGAGTCCTCTTTCACATGCACTGAGTCCTCTTTCACATGCACTGAGTCCTCTTTCACATGCACTGAGTCCTCTTTCACATGCACTGAGTCCTCTTTCACATGCACTGAGTCCTCTTTCACATGCACTGAGTCCTCTTTCACATGCACTGAGTCCTCTTTCACATGCACTGAGTCCTCTTTCACATGCACTGAGTCCTCTTTCACATGCACTGAGTCCTCTTTCACATGCACTGAGTCCTCTTTCACATGCACTGAGTCCTCTTTCACATGCACTGAGTCCTCTTTCACATGCACTGAGTCCTCTTTCACATGCACTGAGTCCTCTTTCACATGCACTGAGTCCTCTTTCACATGCACTGAGTCCTCTTTCACATGCACTGAGTCCTCTTTCACATGCACTGAGTCCTCTTTCACATGCACTGAGTCCTCTTTCACATGCACTGAGTCCTCTTTCACATGCACTGAGTCCTCTTTCACATGCACTGAGTCCTCTTTCACATGCACTGAGTCCTCTTTCACATGCACTGAGTCCTCTTTCACATGCACTGAGTCCTCTTTCACATGCACTGAGTCCTCTTTCACATGCACTGAGTCCTCTTTCACATGCACTGAGTCCTCTTTCACATGCACTGAGTCCTCTTTCACATGCACTGAGTCCTCTTTCACATGCACTGAGTCCTCTTTCACATGCACTGAGTCCTCTTTCACATGCACTGAGTCCTCTTTCACATGCACTGAGTCCTCTTTCACATGCACTGAGTCCTCTTTCACATGCACTGAGTCCTCTTTCACATGCACTGAGTCCTCTTTCACATGCACTGAGTCCTCTTTCACATGCACTGAGTCCTCCTCCACATGCACTGAGTCCTCCTCCACATGCACTGAGTCCTCCTCCACATGCACTGAGTCCTCCTCCACATGCACTGAGTCCTCCTCCACATGCACTGAGTCCTCCTCCACATGCACTGAGGGTGGCAGCCAGTCACTGCCTGCCAACTCCCCCTCGCACTGACATCACTCTCTCACTCACTCTCATCCTCTCACTCACTCTCATCCTTTCACTCACTCTCATGCTCCCCTCTTGCTCTCCCCCCCTCCTTTTCAGGTCACCTTTCACATGCACCGAGTCCTCCTCCACATTAGCCATTGCATCACTGCCTGCCACGTCACATGCTGCTGCCACGTCACACACTCCTGCCACGTCAGCTCCTGAAGCTACAACCACGACTGCATCGGTCACGACGAGTTTGTTGACTCCACGTCTGCTCTCCCTCATACCGTTCTCAACCGCTTCCTCCGCCTCGCTTGTAAGTGGCTCCCTTAAGGAGTGCGATACAGTGTGGTGCAGTGCAATGCAATGCAATGCAATGCAGTGCAATGCAGTGTGGTGCATTAAGTAGGCTGCTGGCTCCGAGTCTGCCCTCCCTCATCCCATTCGCAACTACCTCATCCTCGCTCGTGAGTTTCTCACACTGTGCAGTGCAGTGCACTGTGCAACCTAGGTTGCTCGTGAGGCGCTCTTGCAGCGCAATGCATTCACACACGTTGAGACGACTTTTGAGTCGACTCAAAAGTCACTGTTGAGTCCATTCACCTAGGTTGCTCGTGAGGCGCTCTTGCAATGCAATGCAATGCATTCACACACGTTGCTGTCTCCTATGCCTGTGCCACCCCATGCGATAAAAGAAGTGTTTTGAGACGTCTCAAAATGCTTCTATTTTCACGTGAGGCGCTCTTGCAGTGCAATGCATTCACACACGTTGCTGTCTCCTGTGCCTGTGCCACCCCCATGCATGCTGCGCAAACGCTCTTACTATTCCTCTCTGCCCTACTCTCTTCTCTCCTCCTCCTCTCACTGCTTCTCTCCTCTCCTCTCCTCTTCCTGTTTCTCGTTTTCCGTGCATGCATCTTACATCCCTTCATCCATGCATCTTACATCCCTTCATCCATGCATCTTACATCCCTTCATCCATGCATCGCCATCCATGCCATGCCCCTGTGGTTCCAGGAACTGGCATCAACACCATCGTCACATACCCCTCCTCCATCCCCTCCCCTTCCTCCCTCTCCTCCCTCTCCTCCCTCTCCTCCCTCTCCTCCGTCGCCTTCTTCCCCTCCTGCGACTCCCTCGCCCCCTTTTCCTCCTCCTCATCTTCCTCCTCCTCCTCTCCCTCCTTCCTCTGCCCCTCCTCTCCTCCCTCCACCCCAGCCCCCGCCACCACCACCACCACCAACGCCAGGTCAGCTCCTCTCCACCCCTTTCACACCCTCTTCACCGCTCTCACATCATCTCCACCCCTTTCACACCCTCTCCATCGCTCTCACATCATCTCCACCCCTTTCACATCTTTGTGAGAGCTGTGACATATGACACTTGTCTGATCTGTTCTTATCTCTCACAAAGTGACATGTATCTCTCGTATGGTTTGGGTGCCAACACAACAAGTGTTCTGCACGCATCAGTTTTTATTTGCATTCATAGTCCGCTTTTGAGGCGCCTCAAAACTAGTCTGCCGCACAAGTTTTCTTTTCAGTGCTCTAGTTTATTCGAACATTGTCATTCTGTCGCCTTCAGAGGCAAGCCCTGATCACGTTTCTTCCGTGCATCCTGCTGATCCCTGCCCCCTTTCTTCCCCCTTTCTCTGTTTCTCCTCCCCCTTTCTCTGTTTCTCCTCCCCCATTCTGTGTTTCTTCCTGTTACCGTCCCTGTTCCCCATCTTCCCCATTCTCCCCATCCTCCCCATCTTCCCCATTCTCCCCATCCTTCCATCCCCCACCCACACCTTATTGCCATTCCTCCGCTCCTCAGTCCCCTCTCCTCCCAGCCCCTCTCCTCCCAGCCCCTCTCCTCCCAGCCCCTCTCCTCCCAGCCCCTCTCCTCCCAGCCCCTCTCCTCCCAGCCCCCCTGCCCCTCTTCCCCCACCTCCTCTTCCGCCTCCCCCACCCCCCCCGACCCACTACCCCATGCTGCCCCCTTTCGGGGACCTCAACTCCCCCGCTTCCCCCCCTCCCTCCCCACCCGCGCCACCCTCTCCCCCCGCTCCCCCTGCCTCCCCGCCCCTACCTCCTTCCCCCACTTCCCCTCCTTCCCCCAACTCCCCTCCTTCCCCCACTTCCCCTCCTTTCCCGCCCTCCCTGCCCCCCATCTCCTACCCCTCGTCTCCCCCTTTTGGAGATTTGAACTCCCCCTTCTCCCCTCCCCCCTCTCCTCCCAGACCCCCCTCCCCGCCTTCTCCTCCCCCTGCCCCTCCTTCCCCTCCTGCCCCTCCTTCCCCTCCCTCCCCCCCTCCCTTTCCGCCCCCAACCCCTCCCTCCCCCTATTTCCCCTCGTCTCCCCCTCTTGGAGACATGAATTCCCCCGCCTCCCCTCCCCCTTCCCCTCCCAAGCCCCCCTCCTCCCCTGCTCCTCCCCCTGTCCTTCCCTCCCCTCCACCCCCGCCTTCTCCCTCTCCTTTGCTCTCCCCTCCCCCTCAAGACTCCGCCCCCACTCTCCCTCCCCCCCCACAACCGCTCTCCCCCCTTCCTCTCCGCCTTCCCCCTTGCCCTCCGCCCCCCCTCCCCAAGATCCCCCTGCGTTTCCTTCCCCTCCCCCTCCTCCCCCTTCCCCCTCCCCGTCCCCTCCCCATCCCCCCGTCCCCCTCCCGTTCCGCCTAGCCCACCCTCCGTCTCTCCCCCTTCCCTCGACTCTCCCCCGCCTCCCTTCCCCTCCCCCCCTGCTCGCGCACACCCCCCACCTGCCAACTCTAACGATATGGCAAATGCCACAGAGCCTCCCCCTCCTTCACTTCCTAATTCCCCCCCTCCCCCTACAATTCTCCCCCCTCCTCCTGTCCCTGCTTCTCCACCCTCCCCCTCCCCTCCACCCCGCTCTCCCCCATCTCCCCCCACTCCCCCGTCCATCTCCCCCCCCTCACCACCCCCCTCTCCTCCTTTCACCCTTGGCCCTGTCCTCCCAGCTCCCGTTCTCTCCCCTCCCCATCCCCCTCCTCTCCCCCCTCCGCATCCCCCTCTGCACCCCCCTCCACATCCCCCTCCGCACCCTCCTCCTCCTTGTCCTCCTCCAGACTTCCCCTCTTCTCCTCCCATTTCTCTCCTCCCTCCCAGCCCTCCAAAGCAACCTCCCCCTCCCCCACTCTCTCCTCCCTCCCCTCCTCCTCTCACACACTCACCACCCCTAGCACAGCCACCAACCAACTCTCCCACGCCAGAACCCCCACCAGTCAAACCACCACCGTTACAACCACCACCTGAAAAACCACCTGCACCAGCACCAAAAGCACCTGAAATACCACCTGCGCCAGCACCAAAAGCACCTGAAATACCACTTGCGCCAGCACCAATAGCACCTGAAATACCACCTGCCCCAGCACCAAAAGCACCTGAGAAACCACCTGCGCCACCACCTGCAGCACCGCCGCCACACCCGGCGTTCCTACCCCACCCCAACTCCTCCCACGCGCCTGTCACAACCTGGAGCCCTCCTCCTTCGCCTCTGCTGCCGCCCCCTTCGCCTCTGCTGCCGCCCCCTTCGCCTCTGCTGCCGCCCCCTTCGCTTCCGCTGCCGCCCCCACCACCAGACAGCAGAAGTGAGTTTCGTCTTATCTTCGTTTCACCATCTCCTTGAAACTATCCCCTTTGCTCTGTTATATCGTGGATGATTAATTTTAGGTGCTTAGAGCAAGGGAGTCGTTCGGCAGGGTAGGAGGGGGCGGCAGCGGAAGCGAAGGATTCTTTGTCATTCATCCTACCAATCATCACTCTCCTTTGCCTTGTCATCCGTGAATCCTGTTCTCACTCCCCTCTCCCACCTCTTCCCACTCTTCTCTTCCCCCATCCCCCCCCTCCCAATCCCTCCAGACTGCCCCCCCTGCCCTGACACCTACGTCCTCCTCCCTTCCCCCGCCCCCTCCTCCGCCTCCCCCACCGTTCCCCCCTCCGCCCCTCCGCCCTGCACTTGCGGCCTCCCTATGGTGGTGGTTATGAAGCTCTACTGCGGCTTCGACTCCTTCCTGCTCAACCTGCCTGCTTTCACCGCCCAAACAGCCACTTCACTCATACTACAGAAGGAGCAAGTGGAGGTGAGTGAGTCATAGCTGATCACAAACTCGGTCTCCATAGCTGATCACAACCTTGGTCTCCATAGCTGAACTTTTGAGGCGCCTCAAAAGCAAGTGGAGGTGAGTGAGTCATAGCTGATCACAAACAGTTGTGATCAGTTCATGCCCGCAGTGCTCTCCCCGTGGTGGTGGTTCTGAAGCTCTATTGCGGCTTCGACTCCTTTCTCCTCAACCTCCCAGCCTTCGCTGCCCAGAGTCCCAGACTGCCACTTCACTTACACTGCAGCAGGAACAAGTGGAGGTGAGTCAGTCGGTGAGCGGGTTTGCAGTTGGTTTGAGCGAGTGTGAGGCTGAGTGCTAACTCCCACCTCACTCATGTGTGTAGTCTCCCCATGCTGGTCGTTATGAAGCTCTATTGCGGCTTCGACTCCTTTCTCCTCAACCTCCCAGCCTTCGCTGCCCAGACGGCTACATCACTTATACTGCAAAAGGAACAGGTGGAGGTGAGTGAGTAAGTGTGTGGTGTGGGTGTGCTGCAGAGGCGAGTGTTAGCCGCCCGAGTGCAGACTCGTGTCTCCCCGTGGTGGTCGTCTTGAAGCTCTATTGCAGCTTCGACTCCTTTCTCCTCAACCTCCCAGCCTTCACTGCCCAGGCAGCCACCTCCCTTGTGCTGCAGCAGAAGGAACAAGTGGAGGTGATTCGTGTGTCCGTATAATTATGTGGCTGAATGTAAGCTGGGTCTCCTCCGTTGATGCATATACCCTCCCCATGCCGCGCAGGTATTGGCAGAGAATTATGACCCTGATCCTGTTGCCCTAGATGTCGCAACCCCATGCTCTATTGCTGACCCAATGCCACATGCCCTGCTGCAGGTATTGGCAGAGAATTATGACCCTGATCCTGCTGCCCTGGCTGTCACAGTTTATATCTCCTACCCCCCTCCCCCATCCTTTTTTTCCACTGGTAACCTGGTTACCACATGACGTGCAGGTATGGGCAGTGAACTATGACCCTGATCCTGCTGCTCTGGATGTGACTGTTTTTCTCCTACCCCTCGCCTCCTCCTCTTCCTCCTCCTCCTCTGGTGCTGCTGCCGCCTCCTCCTCAGCCGCTGCTGCTGCTGCTGCTCTTGCCTCATCTGCTGCTGCTGATGCTGCAAGTGCCACTGGTGCCAAAGGGAGGACAATAACTGGTGGAGCAGGGGTCGAAGCGAGACCAATCACATCATCATCACCATCTGCAGCAGCAGCTACAGAAGCAGTAGCAACTGCAACCGCCTCCTCCTCACCCTCCCCCCTTTCGCATCACTCATCATCGTCGGGCAAAGTCACTCGCCTCCTGCAGTCCTCCTCCTCCCGCCCACCACTTGCACCGACAGCACAGCAGCAGCCAATCACAGATCGGCTGAGTGCAGCAGAGGTGGATCGCATCCGACGGCTGCTTTTGAGCGGATCTCTGGTGCTGGATCGACAGCTGTTCGGGGCGTACGAGGTCATTCTGGTTCTCAACCCAGGTGAGGGGAAAACGAAGGGAGGGGAAGATGAAGGGATGGGGAGAGGGAAGCTGTTTCTGGTGGGTTGCATGCAGTGGCTGCTGTTGAGTGGATCGCTGGTGCTGGAGAAGCAGCTGTTTGGGGCGTATGAGGTCATTTTGGTGCTCAAGCCAGGTGAGGAGAGGATGAAGGGAGGGGAAGATGAAGGGATGGGGAGAGGGAAGCTGTCTCTGCTGGGTTGCATGCAGTGGCTGCTACTGAGAGAGGACCGCTGGTGCTGGACAAGCAGCTGTTTGGGGCGTACGAGTTCGTTCTGGTGCTCAACCCAGGTGAGAGGGAGAGAGGGCTGATCAACTGTAGGGAGGGGTCAACGTACATCGTTCTCCCTGCCTTGATCCTCGCGATTATCGTCATTCATGCCCCTTCCCCACCCTCTTCCCCCTTTGCTCCCCCCTCCCTGCTCCCTCTCTCCCCCCGCTCTCCTTTCACCCCCTGTATATTCCCCAGGTCAACGCCCGCCTCCCCCTCCTCCTCTGCTCTCCACCTCTCCCGTCCCTCTACCCCCCTCCTCCGCCTCCTCCTCCTCCCCGTTCTCCCCCTCGCCCCCCTCCGTTCCACCCCCTCCTGCCCCCGGGGGCATGCCTTATTGGAAGGTCATGCTCATGATCGTTCTCCCGGCCTTGATCCTCGCTATTATCACTCTCTGTGTGGTGGTGTGGTGCGCTAGGAGGAGGGCTTGGGAGAAAGCCGGGAAGGGGGTTGCGAAACATGTGGGGAGGTGGAAGGGGAAGGGGGAAAAGGGGCGCGGAGGGAGGAGAGGAGGAAGAGGAGGAGGGAGGGGGGAGGGAGTGCGGGAGGGAGTGGGTGTAGGAGAGGGAGGGTGGATGGAGGGGGGGACGGAGAGGATAGGGTGGGAGCGTGGGGGAAGGTCAGGGCAGCAGGAGGAGGGGGAGGACTGGGATGAGGGGAGAGGAAGAGGAAGAGGGGACGTTGTTGGGCGGGTGGGGAGAGACCAGGAGAGGGAAGAGGTGCAGGCGTGGGCTGAAGGGGAGAGTGATGATGATCATTACATGCCGCTTGCATCAGGGGCAGAGAAGCATGGGTCAGAGAGGCCGTGGGCAGGTGGAGGAGTGGCAGCAGCTGGAGCAGCAGAAGAAAGAGCAGGGGTTGCAATTGGGACAAGAGTAACAGCAGCAGGAGCATTTACAGAAAGAGAACCAGGAGAAGGATGGGCAGGAGCAGGCAGATTAGAAGGAGCAGGAGGAGGAGCAGGAGGAGGAGGAGGAGGAGGAGTAGGAGGAGTAGTAGCAGCAGGCAGGGGTAAAGGAACCTCTAGAGAAACCTCTGTGAAAACCCTAGCCCCTTTTGCTGAAGCCACCTTCTCATTCTCCCTCACAGACATTCACACAGCCACCAGTGGTTTCCACCCGAGCAACCTGATTGGCCGAGGCGGATCCAGCCAGGTGTTCCGGGGGTGTCTGCCGGGCGGCAAACTGGTTGCTGTGAAAATATTTGATTCGCCGCCCGGCGGGGAGAGGGATTTCATTACGGAGGCTCGGCTGCTGAGCCGGCTGAACCACAAAAACGTGGTGAAGCTTCTGGGGACCTGCGACGAGGGCGGCTTGCGTTGTCTAGTCTTCCAGCTAGCCGAAAAGGGAAGCCTGAGGGAGCACCTCCACTCCTCCACCCTCCCCACCTCCACCCTCCCCACCTCCACCCTCCCCACCTCCACCCTCCCCACCTCCACCCTCCACTCCCCCACCCTCCCCTCCTCCCTCTCCACCCTCTCTCCCACGCCGGCCGTTCTAGACTGGTCCACGCGGGTGAAAATAGCCCTGGGGGCGGCACAGGGTTTAGCTTACTTGCATGAGGACTCTAGTCCGCAGATTATCCACCGGGATTTAAAGACGTCGAATATCCTGCTGGATGCTGATTGGACGGCTAGGATCGCGGATCTGGGTCTGGCGAGAGTGGTGAGAGAGAAGGTGGGGGGTGCGGGGAGGGGTGCGGGTGGGAGGGGAGTTGGGGAGGGAGAGGCGGTCGAGGAGGGAGAGAAGGGGGAGGAGGGGGAGGAGGGAGCAGAGACAAGAGAGGCGAAGCAAGGGGAGGAGGATCAAGTAGGGGACCATGAAGATGGGGGAAATCAAGAGATCTTAACAGGAGTGGAAGGAGGAAGAGGCAGCGGCAGAGGGGAAGGAGAGAAAGCTGGGGTGGAGTCCCAGCACATGAGGGGCACGTTTGGGTACATGGCGCCTGAGTATGCGCTGACTGGTAGAGTGGCGCCCAAGAGCGACGTGTTCAGCTTCGGTGTGGTGCTGCTGGAAGTGCTGTCCGGCCGCCCTGCCCTTGTACCTCTGGAGCCGACACAAGCGACTGGACCTCAGATGCTTCTGCACTCTCGTCCTCAGCTGCTGGAAGTGCTCTCCGGCCGCCCTGCCCTTGTACCTCTGGAGCCGACACAAGCGACTGGAGATGCCGCAGCAGCTGTGGACGAGAGTGCAGAAGTTTTGGAAGGTGCAGGTGCAGGTGCAGCAGCAGCAGCAGCTGCAGGTCCAAGGCCCGGTGTATCAAGCATCGTGGTGTGGGCCAAGCCCCTTCTCTCCTCGTACGTGCATACCCACATGTCACATGCCTGTTCCGTGTGTATGATTGTGTGGGTGGTGATGGGGGAAAGGGAGATAGGGGGGTGGGTGTATCAAGCATCGTGGTGTGGGCCAAGCCCCTTCTCTCCTCGTACGTGCATACCCACATGTCACATGCCTGTTCCGTGTGTATGATTGTGTGGGTGGTGATCGGGGAAAGGGAGATAGGGGGGTGGGTGTATCAAGCATCGTGGTGTGGGCCAAGCCCCTTCTCTCCTCGTACGTGCATACCCACATGTCACATGCCTGTTCCGTGTGTATGATTGTGTGGGTGGTGATGGGGGAAAGGGAGATAGGGGGGTGGGTGTATCAAGCATCGTGGTGTGGGCCAAGCCCCTTCTCTCCTCGTACGTGCATACCCACATGTCACATGCCTGTTCCGTGTGTATGATTGTGTGGGTGGTGATCGGGGAAAGGGAGATAGGGGGGTGGGTGTATCAAGCATCGTGGTGTGGGCCAAGCCCCTTCTCTCCTCGTACGTGCATACCCACATGTCACATGCCTGTTCCGTGTGTATGATTGTGTGGGTGGTGATGGGGGAAAGGGAGATAGGGGGGTGGGTGTATCAAGCATCGTGGTGTGGGCCAAGCCCCTTCTCTCCTCGTACGTGCAGGCCCAGCTTTGCTTGCACGGATGATTTTTTGCCTGCGTTGTTTGCATATTCATGATGCATGCCAGTGCTGCAGGCGTTTTTCAGGTTCCTCTGTGCATGTATGCGTAAATGCCCGCCTGTGGGAATTCTCCAATGTAAGCAACAAATCGCATCCCATATCCCACCCCATCCCACCCCATCCCACCCTCTTCCGCCAACAGCAAACAAGGACTGCGTCACTTCGCCGACCCGCGTATGGGCGGCAGCTATCCACTGGAGGCCATGGCGCGGGCGGCAGCCATAGCCATGCGATGCACGGAGAGTGAGCCCTCAGCGCGACCATCAATGGGAGACGTGGTGCAAGCCCTCCGTGCCATTGCCTTCGAGCACTCCCCCATGACCAGGTACGAGATGACCTTTGAGTTGACTTGTGTAACGCATTTGAGTTGACTCCCCAAAAGGAGAGATTGAGCCCTCGGCCCCACCCCGCAGCCCCTCCGTGAGGTGACTTTTGAGTCGACTCAAAAGTCACCACGCATTTGAGGGGTGTGAGTGAACTCTTCCCCACCCCGCAGCCCCGCAGCCCCTCCGTCCTCTGTCGCCATATCTTTGAAGAAAAAGAGGACTGAGGGGAAGATTTCTCCCCCTCTTTTCCTCTTTTCGCCAGATCTTTGCAGAAAAAGAGGGGAAGAAATCTGTGTGGCTCAATCAAGTGCCTCGTCTCCCCTCTGCTCCCCTGTCCCCCCCTTTTTCCCTTGCCTCCTTTTTACCAGGACGCTTCTTGCTCCCGTGCCCTACTCCTCTTGGTCCTCCCATTTCTCTTTGTTTTCGCAAACTCTCGTGCCAGGCCTAATCTCCTCCTCTCCCCACCTTCCCCCCTCTCTCATCCTCTCCCCCTCACCAGGACGCTTCTTGCTCCCGTGCCCTACTCCACTTCCTCCTCCCATTTGTCTTTGTTTTCGCAAACTCTCATGCCAGGCCTAATCTCCTCCTCTCCCCACCTTCCCCCCTTTCTCGTCCTCCCCCCCTCACCAGGACGCTTCTTGCTCCCGTGCCCTACTCCACTTCCTCCTCCCATGCCTCTGCCGCCTCCTCCTCCTCAGCCTCCTACCACCAATACCACCACCTACACCACCAGCAACATTACCATCAGTCACAACAGCCACCAGAACAGCAGGCGTCAAGCGCACGGCAGAGCAATCACCATCGCCACCGCAGCTATCAGCAACAGCACCAGCACTACCAGCAGCAAGACCACCCACAGCAGCAGCAGTATCAACACCGCTACCCTCCAATCAGTCCCCTGCCTCTCCCACTTCTCCACACTCCCGATCCCCTCCTTCTCCCATCCACCACCGCTGCTACATCTGCTGCTGGTGTGGCCACTTGCTGCTCGTGCTGCTGCTGCTGCTGCTGGTGGTGCTTCTGTTGCTGCCCCATCCACTCCTCTCTCTCGCCCCATACACATCTCCATGTCAGCTCCTCTCCTCCCCATCACTACTCCACACCACCCTCCCCCTTATCCCCTCCCCCAATCCTATTTCGCCGCTCCCCAAGCCGCCCCTTCCCCTTCCCCCATCCCCCCACTAATGCTGCCCCCCAGTCATTCTCATTCTGTCTCTCTCCGCCCCTCCGTACCCATTTTAACCTCACCGCAACAACTCTCAACCGCTCACGAACCCCTCACCTCCCAACAGCCCATCACCGCTCTCCACCTCTCCACACCACTGCACCCACTCCCCCACCTCTCCTCACCCCAACCCATCCCAGGCGAAGCCTCAGCGTCAAGTTCGGATCTGCCAAACCTCGCAACCAGGTCTGGTTCGGCCGGACCAGGTTTGGCCTGGCCGAACGCAGCAGCAGCGGTCACTACCAGAGAAGCTACCGGACAGGCCCCTGCCTTTGAGTCGCCTCAGGAACAGACCCCCCCTGTCTTTGCAAGGGACTCAACTGCACAAACCCCTCCTGCTTCTTTTGTACAAAGCTCTACTCGATCTGCCCAGACGCCTACTTCTTTTGCACGGAACCCTGCTCTAGTGGTGATTGGTAGCTCGTACGGGCAAGTACCTCGGCCTTCTCACACTGCCCGACAGAACTCGCAGGGATTAGTACTGCCACAGTCGCTGAGCAAGAAACAGTTTGTTCCATCCGAGCAGTTAAGAGCAGGAACCGTGGCTGAGGCACCATTAGTGTTGGACGGACGAGGAGAGAGTGGAGGATGGGGAGAGGGAGGAGGAGGAGGAGGAGGAGGAGGAGAAGGGAGGGAAACAGCAGCAAGAGGAGCAGTCGTGCACCCTCGTGCACAACAGCAAAGAGCAGCAAACAACCCTCCCAGCAGAGCCACTCGCTCGCACTCCCTCTCCTCCTCTCACCCCACTCACTCACACTCCATCCAGTTCCCCCTCTCCACTCCACACTCTCTCCCCCGCTTCCCCCCCTCTCCCTCTCAATCGCCCCACTCCTCCCAGCTCTCTCACTCACTCCCCTCTCCCTCCACCTCCCCTTACCCCACTCAACCATACACTACAGCCGCCCCCCCTGCTGCCCCCCCTGCTGCCTCCCCCTATGTCTCCCCTTCCGCCTCCCCTTCCGCCTCCCCCTATGCTTCCCCCTATGCCACTCCCTCTGCTGCTCCTTCCTCCCCCTCTGCTGCTCCGTCCTCCCCCCTGCATATGGGGGACCTTTCCCCCCAGTCAAGAAGCGGCATTCCGAGGCTGCTCAGAATGAGCATTAGAGGGCTCGACTACAGGTATGGGCCAGTCGTGACTACAGGTGTGGGACAAACCAGGCACAGTAGAAGGTTTGATTACATTACAGGTACGGGCCTAGCTTTGAGTCTAGGCACGAACCAAACCTTGACTACAGGTACGGTTGATGCAGTACGGATGGCCAACTGCAGGTTTGATGAATTGCATTTCAAGTAGAAAGGTACGGTAATTCCATTTCGGATTAGTTGCAGCTCCAATTAGTGCAGTCGTGTATTGAGTCGACTCAAATCTGCAGTCGGATTAGTTGCAGCTCTTTTTATGTCTCCTCAATCCGCATCTCTCCCCATCTTGCCCTAGTTGCCCCACTTGCCTCTCATCTCTTGCTCCTTTCTCTCTCTCTTGTGTCTCATCTCTCTTCTCTCTCATGGCAGTGGTGACATGGCTCGTGATGACTCCTCTGCATCGCTCCCATACAGCCAGCCTCCCTCACAGGCAAGTGCACTGTGCCGTCACCCTCACACCCTCACACCCTCACACCCTCTCCTTCTCCATTCGTCCCACCTTCCTCTTGATCCCTCTTCCCTGCTCCACTGCCTCCTCCTCTCATGATGCCTCCTCTGCATCGCTCCCATACAGCCAGCCTCCCTCACAGGCAAGTGCACTGTGCCGTCACCCTCACACCCTCTCCTCCTCCATTCGTCCCACCTTCCTCTTGATCCCTCTTCCCTGCTCCACTGCCTCCTCCTCTCATGATGCCTCCTCTTCATCTCTCCCATACAGCCAGCCTCCCTCACAGGCAAGTCGCCTCTCTATTAAACACTCCTCTCGCCCTCTCCTCCTCCAATATTTCCCCCTTCCGCATCTCTCCTCTGCATCTCCCTCATACAGCCAGCCTCCCTCACAGGCAAGTCACCTCTCTATCAATCACTCCTCACGCCCTCTCCTCCTCCTTTTGAAGCGCCTCAAAAGTAATCACTCCTCGCGCCCTCTCCTCCTCCAATGTTTTTGAGACGTCTCAAAACACCCCTCACTCTCCTCCCTTCTTTCTCTCCAGTCATCCGCCCTTCCCTTTTATGAACCGTCTTTCACAGTCCCCCTACTATCTTCATCAATCCCTCCAATAATGTGTCGTAAAACGCAGAAACCCACCAATTCTAATCTCAAACGCACACGTACTGCTTTGTACCTCCTGCTTTTTACCTCCTGCTTTTTACCTCCTGCTTTTTACCTCCTGCTTTTTACCCCATCAATGCAGGAATTCTCTGGCGACTACTCACCCCATGACCACAGTCACATCACCGACCATTCAGAGGGCGGCCATACCAGCAGCAGTAACAGAGAACATCATACCAGCGGCAACAGAGAAACAGATTATATTATCAGCAACAGAGAGGGGGGTTATCGGAGCAGCAATAGCGAGGGAGAGTATACCAGCGAAATTCCTGACACCAGCAGCAGCAACAGTAGGCGCTATCTAGGCTCAACCATGGGTGGTATGGGGTCACAACAAGCAGGAGAACCACTCTCACGTAACCCTGTTATAACACCTGTAACGGATCTGGTTACCAGCAACGACGATCACCAGCCACTGCTGAGAAGAAGACTGTGATGACCTGGCAATCTATCGACCAATTCGCCAGCTTGCCAGCTGACCTGGCAAAATGACGACCATGATCTGACTGTCCCACGACCCTGGTGATCAGCTGATGTGGCAACCAGATGACCAGGGAGTCTGGTTTAGAAATGAGGCGGAGACAAGCTGCAAGCAAGGCTGCAACATCCCACCTGCACTTCTGCTGACTGATACGACAAGAGGATTGGGAGACGTATCAAGCCCTCACGTGCCACCCAGCTTGTTAATGAGACTGGATGCCAGTCTGTGCTGGGACAGAAGGTATTTTGGCTGTTAAAAAAAAAAAGGAAACGGTAACCTTTGCAAGGGACGGCACATGAATTCTTTTGG